CCCCCCCGCCCGGGAGGGGCGGGCAGCCACGGAAAGTGGGTCAGGGGGAGAAAGAGGCGATTGTGCGCCCAACGGCGAGCCTCTCGGCACAATAGCTGGCCGCGGGGCCGGGTGCCAGGGCGAGGGGCCGGCGTGGGGGCTCACCCAGCTCTCCTGGCTTTGTCCCCCCATCTCCAGGTCCTTTCCAAGGCTCCCAACCTCGAGGACCCCTCGGCTCCCCCCGATACGCAGGTGACGGTGCAGCTCTTCGATTCGGAGCCGCTGTCCCTCACCGTGCCGGGGGACATCTCCTGGGATGACCCCCGCTTCATGGAGATAGTGGCCGAGCAGGCGCTTCAGCACTACAAGCAAAATGCCATGTGAGTCCGGGACCCCCCATCCCCACGGCAGGAGCTGGGGGGGGGTCCATGCCGTAGCTCACCCCTTCCCATCCTTCCTCCGGCAGAGAGTAGCTGGGCGATGCTCCGTGCCGCCGCCGCCGCAGCCCCGATGCCGCACCAAGCCCCGTGCCAAGGGGGCAACCGCCGCTGCTCTCCCGTTGTGTCCCCCCCCCGCCGCCGCCCCGCTGCCGGGGTCCCACCGCGGACCCCCAAAAAAACCCAGAAAATAAAGGTAGAGTCGAACCCCCCGCCTGCGCTCGCCTCCGCCTCTTTGGGACACACAAATAAACGTCGCAAAAAGCAGCCGCGCGCGCCCGGGGGTGAGCAGCGGGCATTGCGAAATTGGAGGGGGAAGCCAAGGGGGCGGCCAGGATCTGCCCCCCCCAAAACCTGGGCTGGCAGGAGCCCCCCCACAAGGATGCCAGGGCTCTCTGCCTTCTCCCCCACCCTGTGGGAAAGATGTCTGGGTCCTCTCCTTCCCCTGGGGACCCCCAGGATCGCGTCCTGCATGGCCCCGGGGATGGGGGGGACTCAGCACCCCACCTCCTGTGGGCACACCGGTGCCCGCCGGGGGCCAGACCCCGTCCCCCAGCCCCGCTGAGCCCCCAGGACCCCGCCGCGGCCGGCGCAGCCACCCGGGGAGCGAGCCGCGGGCAGAGGCACTTTATTGGGGG